CAACTAGAAAAAATGTTCACTTTTGTACTGTGCGCAGCAAGTTCTGCGATTTTGATACAATTGCGTATGTTCTATCATTTGAGTCCTCCTCTTTGGTGTCCAAGTCGAATCACGAGGACGTGACACACTTGTCCCTGCCTAATTCAGACAAATACTTCGGGTCGTTAGGTGTATTAGACGCACTGTAATGAGCACATGACCTAACTCATTCACGATCCAATCAGCGCTGCCAAACACGGTCAAAATAGATTAGTGAGTCATGCAACTGAGCTTTGTGTCTGGTTGGAACACCCACGTCGTTTCCCATTTGAACCTATATTAACATTTCATCTGTCTTGATGTTTCAAATTCCTCGAATGAAACTTTGAAAACTTAAAACGACGTGTTTGGAAGCGAATTCCACACCTTCAATGTTCAGTGATTGTGTGCAATGTTGCTTGCTGGTAAACATACTCTACTACGTGCGTTATATCAAGGATTCTCTTAGATCAGAAAGGACAAGTAGATGATGGATAACCACGACGGGTTGAAATGGGGTCTCTTGAAACGTGATAAACCGAAGAAACTTTCAGATTGCGTATTGAGTTCTTTGGCAGGCCAGTATACCTTTTCAGTACTTTCATTATCAAACTTTTACAATCAGAAGGATTGGGAATTCCCTGATGTGGGGAAGTAAATGGAACACAAGTGATTTCGACCAAACCACTGTAGGGAAGGGGTTAGAAGATAACCAACCACAGGCAACTTGTGTTATCCTGGCCAAAATTAAATTCTGCGATGCGCGATCAAGGCTGTGGTTCTGATAACAGTGTGCTCTATACGTGCATCAAAGCAATCAATGGTTTACCTCTTCATCCACCACCTCCTCAACTTAATTGAACTCATTGGACCACAGTAGCTGTTCGCTGAGTTGGTAAAGAGATTACGCACCATTCAGATGTTTGATACGTTCATCGATGAAAATTGTTGTTTGGATAGCGACGACCAATGAAAGTTCTGGTTATTTTGTTGTCTGTTTTAGAAACCGGAATAGGAACGGAGATTGTTCTTCCAGCTTTACCGTCTAGCAAAATGCTGAAAAATTCTATCGTTCAAAGCGAAATTGGGCGAGGAAACGAGGAAGAAATCAGGATCTGTACTTCTTATTCTCGCTCACTTGGTAGACACTGGTTATCGTGTTAACCCAAGTGAAGTATCCGCATTATTTATCAGGTCCCCCCGAATCGGTCCAAATACGTTGGCCATAGCCGAGGCCATTTGACCCCTGAACTGTGCGCCCAGAAACGTCTTATCCAAGCTCTCCATCTCCCCCGAATGGTTCACGAACCCACCCTTCCCCAATGCCTCCCTTACCCGAACACAAACATTTTCACACAACAGCACCGATCCCTCAGAACTGGGTCACACGACCGTCGTGACATAACTACAAACCCCGGAAGCACGGATTTGAGAATGCGGTGTGCAACACACACAAATACCGACATACACACACACACACACGTAGTGAACGATTCCTTACAGTTTATTGTTCTCCTCCCAACCCTTAAGTTTTTTCCCTCATATAGACTGTAACGGCATGATTATGAGTTATTGGACACAATTTTTTGCCCGAAATTGTGTTCTAAAAGCGAATATAGGCATATTTCGAAAGTTGAAATCATTGGATAAATTGAATCGGCAGCTGACACTATGTAGTTTCTACGACATAAACCGATGTGCAGTGATTCAAAAAGCTTTTAGCATTGCAAATTAGCTCAGATAATCTGTGGTGGTAATCTCCCCTTACCACAACAAAGTGCCCTGTGGGACCTTTTCAATGGGTTTCAGTATTTCTTGACGTATTGACACTGATATCATTATGTCATGCATGCATGTTGTGTATGTTTTTATATTCGTGCCTATAAATTTAACATTACCTATGTTTGGTCTAAGTTAGTTTCTAAAATAAAATTCACCGAAAAGTAAAATGTTTTCTCCAAGTTCCTTTAATTTAAAACCATTTTCATTAAGGGGTCAGGAATCACCCAGATAAGAACGTCTCACCTCTCCGTGTTTAGTCAAAAGTGCTTGATGCACGTGCGTCGATCAGCTCTCCGAACAATGTTGCCAGTAAGGAGTTTCAGAGGTTGGTTTTCAGTGAACTGAAAAGTTTTTCAACCCTGTGAGAGAGCACAAACGGGTGTACTTAGAAACCCTGGTGTACTACTGTATTTCTAATCTAAAGCCTCGGTGTAAACACGAAAACATCATCGGGAAAAGGCAATTTGAGCTACCGGTCCTGACACGCGTTTTCACCACCACATTTGAAACAAATTAATTCTCGAAGGAATAACAGTATACCCCATGTTGAAATGTAGAAAGCTCCTTCTGGAACAGTTCGAGTAGTTTTGCTAAATAGTATTTTCTTTTGAAATTGATCTCGGTTAAGGTCTCTGAAGTATTAGCTGCAGTTTGCAAAGGTGAGACGACAACATTCACAACAGGCGCTATTTGTTTCGTCTCTCGAAGTGACTGCCGTCATTGTTGCGACTGAAACGCTAAACTTTTTCCCATTACAAAAAAGCTATCTCTGGTGAAAACAACAGTCATTTACCAAAATCTGACCCACTTTGGCAACTCTTCTATAGTAAATAATCGTTATATAATGAGAATAAATGTCAGATTACATGTTCACCAGACAAGGAAACACGGCTCCTTTTCATAAATTTGCAGCGGTAGCCGTCGTACTCGCCCCACGAACCGTCGGTTAATTATACTTCTTGTTTTCGCGAAAGTAGCGGAATCAATTGTCACTGATTTTCTGATGACAGGTTTGGGGAATACAACGTTGTCTAAACAGTCCCACAAAGCACGAAAACAAATTTCCTGCTCCGCTAATCTGCACGAGGTGAGTGGACAAGAACAGCCGGCACAGTCGAGGCAGCAAACAAAGTTTGTTTAGATTTACTCCACGCTTTTGCTTGAGTAAACCACTTAATACTGTAGTAAACGTTTCACTGCTGCTTGATTACAAGGAGGAATTTCTTCTACAACGCACCACAACCGTTGGAGGTAATCATTGAGTGTCGGGATCAATTTCAGCAGTCCGTGGGTTTTTACAGTGATCCACAAATAATTCCCATCTTTTCCTAACCATCTATCGGATATACTCCGACAAAACATGGAAACCATGGAGGCTACCGAAGATTAAATAGAAAAAAGTAGGAAATATTGGACACAGTTCATCCATGGCCAATGATCAATGACATCCAATTCAACGTTACAAAATTTGCGTCACAGGAATCGCTTTCATGTGAGTTTAGAAATCAGCCATTACCAAAAGCAATCACCACATTGTGCTGGGGTTTCTTACATGGTTCTTAGACAAGTAAGATGAATCACACGTGTTTTCGGTCTCTTGAAACAGAACTGTTCAACCGTGTATTATCAATAAATCTTCAAAGGTGCATATTTCAGATACACGGCTAGCGTTTAACTGCTCACGTATTTTTTGACTTTAGGAATGTCGATCGACTCACTGCTTTATGGATTCGGCAGAATGGCATTCAGCCCGTTTGCAATCCGATGAATAGAACGCAAATCACCAAACACTGAAAAGTATGTACGTAACACATTTATCTACTTTCTCAGGAAATTTATGAAACTGAACCTGGAACACCATTTCAAACAAGCTGGATCCAGAATTCCTTCAAAAGGGTCAGTTTCACTTATTCATCTCCAGTGTGCTCGTAATATCCATGGGTGTGCTTATTCATTGAATCTATCATAATTGTATTCTTCTTTGTATTTTTACATAAATTAAGTAGTCGAATCTAATTACATGAGATGAATCACCATCTTCGTTTTAATGATGAGGGCAACGAGGAACACCATCCTTTTAACGCGTATGTCCAGCAAGCAGAAAAAATAAGAAGTTAAGTTATGGTCACTGATTGGTAATGTGCCAAGTGGTTAAGTCTCCAACTTTTGATCTCAGAGTCGCTGGTTCGGACCGCTCAACCACCGCCCGTCTTTCCAGGTAGCCTTTGTATGGCCGCGGCCCTCCTTCCTGAATGTTGTCTATGCATGTGTTTATTCAATAAATAAAAAAGTAAGTAAAAATACCTCAGGCATTAATTAAACAGACTATTTGTCTAACCAGAAACGATTTTGGGCCGTACCTCGTGAGCAGTTGAGAAATGAACTCCAGCTAAGTCAAGATGTTATCCTATGGTTGGTGGGTTACTTGTATCAAAAGAGACGAAGCAAAGTGGTTGTACAGCATCAAAAGTCTGAAAAAATAAAGCGTATACAGACGCTTTGATCCGTCCCAAGTAGTCAGTGAACAGACACATTCCCGAAAACACTTTATCGTGATCCTCATAAAGTGGCTTTGAATAGAGTGTGCACAGCAGATAAATTCATTCAGCGTTAAGGTTTTACTCAAAAAAGGTTTGGCAGTGACACATGCAGATGCAATACTCGCTTTAGTGTGGAACTGTTGTAACCAGAATAGATACGAATCACGAATCGTTGTTGACCTCTGATTGAGTTTCCTGAAACTGCAAAGCGTTACTGTTTGACGTAACCTTGGAGGGTTGCATCACCACCGGAACGTTACTCATGGGTTGATTCATTTGTGGTCTCTCCCGATCTAAGGAAAAAATTAAGTAGCACACAGTTCAAACCATACGCGGATAAGTTAAATACACGAGTACGCTGTGACTGTTATCAAATATATGTGTAGAAAAGATTTTTAAAATCTCAGTTTAAAATCTCAGCTTATAAATATCCCGGACAGCGGTGGCCCTGAGATCAGTACCGCGATTCCCTCAAGGAATACATGAATAGAAGTCTTCGTTTAGAACCTCAGTATGAGTCAAAATATTCATACAGATAATAAGACCGGTCAGTCAGTTTGGCTTAATTTCACAAACATTCGGAAGTCTGATGTTCAACAAGGGCTTCTCCTCTTTGTCAGCTAACGAGCAAACAGCACATACGCACCACGCAATCGATATTTATTGGGATAGGAAATAACAGATCTGCAGATCGAAACTGGCAAAATTCAAGGTTTTTGGTGGTCGTTGTGTTGGTGGTGGTAGTGGTGGTGGTGGTGGTAGTGGTGGTGGTGGTGGTGGTGGTAGTGGTGGTGTAGGGACAGGGTGAGCACACGCGGTACGTGAACGTCGTGCAGTCACGGAATCTAAATTCTGGTCAAAATCGAATGCTCCTATTAGTCCGTGGAGTGTCCTCGGCATGCATGAGTGTCTACGGTTTACTCCATTTACAACAGACTGATTACTGCAAAGCTACACAAAACGTGATTTGTAAGATAATGAAAAATGTCGTTGGAAGGAGGTAGTCACTGAAGTACACCATTATTCACAATATTCCACGAATTTTGTGTTGTCAAGCGCGAATTTTTGTATTTACTGATGATGTGCAACATGTTCAGCGCACCTGTCCGTTCCAAGCGAAACCGAACATGCTTGACTGTGTATTTTAACTATATGTTTCACTTATTTTTTGTTTGGTAAGCATGTGGCTCTGGGGGAATTATACCTAGAATAGATTGGAGTGTAAACATGCCCATTCCTCTCAGCTTGGGGGCACATACATCAGAATAAACGGCCCCCGTGCTCTGTTCATCCTTAAGGCTCATATAGATATATAGCAAGGGGATGCGTTTGGGACTGCAACCACAAGCATATCGCCATAGTCCATTGTCGAAGTGGGCATTTGTTGCCATATTTTCTCGACATAACATTAGGCATTAGGTAGGAACGAAGTAAACGGGCACGTTCAAAATTGACCAATTGTTAATCATTTAACTGAAACTCGGGAGGGAGAGAAACGAAGAGAGCGGCTACCCTAGATCGAAAACCAATTAACCAAACAACCCGCATTTCAACGAAATTCTGACTAAATTAACTTAGCATGCTTTAAAAGTTCAGGTCCTGTTATCTCTAATTGATAACAGTTGTATTTTTCTGTGGCTATTCTGTTTGCATTTTAGGCGGATAATACAGCTGTATTCTTTCTGTTAATATACTTTTTATCAATTCATAACCAAACACGAGAACAACCAAAAGATCTTTACGGTCGGTTTATTTTTCTTGTCTGCATGCTTTTTTTACAAACGAGCTTCAAAGTCACCTTTATTCGTAAATTCTCCCGAAGGGATGTATTCTGTATCGTCCGAAAATTCGGTTACCTTTAGTTAAACAGTAATAACTCTAAAATATCGACTCCGTTTATTTCCAGTTCCAACCAATTAATCATTTTGGTTGTCTTCTAACTGGAAAGGGCTTTTTGTCCTCACCGATTACTATTAAACCCGATCTGCACTCTGGTCCAGACGGTGCGCGTCGACGACGTCAGTGCAGCCGGAATGAGCTAGGCTCTTCCTGATTGCCCAAGCCCATCAAATTACATCGAAAATTGATCCACGGCATAGAACTGCATTGCTCACTCTACTTTGTTCTCAGTGATTGTGGTGATCTTGGGTGGTTTTCGTTAATGCCGTAGAAAAAAAGACCCAGTTGTCGCTTAGACTCAACTTCCTCTGGTATCACCATATAAGCCCTGTGAACGGATGTGCCCCTTATCGTTACTTGTGAGCGTTCTCCAAACTTTGTGTGAATCACCTTGTCTGTTTGTATCGAGACACTTCTACGAAAACATTTCCCTCTTAAATGATGTATTGAACAGTGGAAAAGCATCTCAAATTGGCCAACTCAAAAACGGGCACCAGAACTAGGAACTGGAGATGACCGGAGTAGGTCGAGTAAAATTTGTACGAACCCACTGCTTGTTCAAAATAATCACAGGTCCTTCAGGTGATAAGCCAGAATATGTGAAGCCAATACTTTTTTCTCGTGATACCTACTGAATCGCGAATCCATGTAGTGCGTTATCTAGGATCATTTCGGATACGCCGGATTGACGACCACCCTGCAGTTGCCTCGGGAACTCCATTAGCGTGGTTACCCTGCACGCTCGCACTGACTGAGTCCGCATTCAGTGTTTCCGGTATGCACTGTCCCTCCATCCCTTTTTGAAAATTAAAAAAGAAACATTTTCTGATATAGAATATGACCAGTAAAACCGGCCAAGATCGGATTCTTGTGAGAAATGCGACACGCTTTGACATTCTATTGTATTTATCGCAAGCGGTCCTCAGGCATTTAATCCCATTGAAAAGCAGAACGGTTGTGATCATATAGATGCCAGGCAGGCAAGCTTTGAACGTCAATATAACTTATATAATTATGACTGCCATCCGCACTTGTAAGTGGGCATGAGCCAACACAAATAGACGTCCATTCGTTGTTGACGTAGCCCTATAATCGACGTCGGAATTCACTCACAATACAAAAACAACATGATCTCCCTACCCCGAAATACGTGAATATTATGAAGGAATGAATAGTGATCACGGTGGGGACCGTGCGAAACCAACTGTCCCGGTCTCCCGGTAAAATTGACAGAAATTTACAATAATGCCTCTTACTACATCTGTCTGCTCGTTCTTTATCCGAATATTTCTCCATCCTCTATCAGTGTGTCCCTGTAAAGGAAAAATCAATGAACGGTCATAGGCTCATTTTACTAAAAACAAGCTTTGAGTTGATGCAGCCGATGCTGTGTTGATAAAATAAAGCACCTAATGGGCAAAATGTGTGAAACGCGGAGCTGTAATAATCGCTCGAAAGTGGTTTACATGTTTGTGGAACATATTTTGTGGAACATGTTGCTCAGCATCAGAAAAAGAAATATGTACCGCGTGTTACTACTTCCGTAGCAAAGTGATTAATAATAAAGTTTCGTGAATACATCCTCCTATCTATTTTTATTATTATCATTCAACACGTCATCAACCCCGTAACTCTTCAACAACAGTGAGTAAGTGGGTGGGTGGGTGTGCAGATGTTATTTCGTTCACTAGCTGACAAACTGAGGCAATGTATGCGAAAAGATGATGTAAAATCGGATCGCAATAATTGTTTTTGGTTGTACGTGCTGCACACCCACGTTTTGGTCGAATAGTTATGCGCTCCATTTTTTTTAAGGTTGTGCTACCGCGGAATATTTCGTTATTTTTTTCATTGCTAACGCATGGATACTTTTGTTGAAAAAAAAACCATTCGGCAAAGCGATCCAGGTTAAATGCTGCTTAACTGATATAAAATAGTATCCAGTTTTGGATGGGAATTTTCTGCATATCTCGAAGTATTCTTGAACATGACACTTTTCTTTGGCAGTAAATTGTCTTCAGTTAAATAACGGGCCTCTATGAACACTTCAGACCAGTACACTATTTTGACTTCCTGATATTTAGTGTAAATGTTGTCGTCACCAACTACCTCGTTTTGTTTTCAGAATCATCAGAAGGAGCAATTGTCATCTTGATAGCTTGCCAAACCTAATGATATAATTTCCTCCACCGGCTTTTCTGGTTTCGATACTACTGATGACTCCACTCAGTTGCGCAACTCTTACCCATTTTCTTAATTTTAGCTTCCATCTATGTTGTGTGGTTGAGTCGCTAAACATTCGTACCGAAAGATTTTCCTCTCATCTGTAGTAACATTCTTTTCATATTCTATCGCCATTCCCGTGATCACTGTAAAGACCCTATTTTGTTTTATTGTCCTCCTTTTCGAGAACTCTGAAGCTAACCGGAGTTAACGGCCTTCCGGTATATCTTCTTACGGGTCTCGTTATCGC